ATATATATATATATATATATATATATATATATATATATATATGTATGTATATAATGTGAAAAATGATAGATGATAAATTCCATCATGCTTGTGCGTGTATCTCTTTTCTAACAAATAATGAAATGAAAATTCGCTATTTTGAAAAAAACCTTGGGACGAAATTTTATACAATACACGAAATTTTTACGCAATGTTCATACTCGTAGACAATTGATTATAATTCCACGAAATTAATAATAGTCAAAGATGATCAATGATACGTAAAAATTAATATATACTATTGTACAACCTATGTTTTTATGAATAGAATCACTCACCCTTCTTATCGCAATGGCAAAGTGATGACGCATCCTCCGATCCGTGAACTCTTCAATATCGTTCAACGTCCTGGGCAAACAAACAACGTAAACTCGGCATCCATCAGACACACACGACAAGAACACGCCCCGCAATTCATTAATAACAACGTCGAGCGCCACCGACACGAATACACGCATAATATTTGCGATATTCAATCATCGGAACGACGCGACGATCCGCTCCCCACTCACCACTCCCACATTTTGAAAATTCGAAATATCTCAAGATGCCGCTAAGACAGTCACTGCTGCTAACGTGAGAGCCCGAAACTCGCGCAGGCGCGGCAACGCACGAGCGAGGAAGCGTTCCTCCCGACGATCTGATTGGTTAACGCGCAATCTGTGACTCCATTCGCAACAAAGCTAATCGAATCGATCGCGACGCGGCGTGTCGCCCCGAATTCGGGCCAATGAACGTGCGGACGTGGGAATGTCGCGCGTAATCGCAACAGACGCGAGTTGCAAGAGTGAACACTCCCCGTGGCCGCAGTGTGCGTTGGTGCGTTCGTTTGATGGATTGCCATTTATGGTGATCCGGGAACGACGAGAGAGAGAAACATTAAATCAAACATTTGTGATGCTGTAGAATCACAGAGACCCGATCAGGCACGCTGCGCTCACACTCACAATAAGTAAGCCGCTTTCGGTAGTTGACATCTTGTTACGAATTATTATTCGTTTATCGCACGCCAAGACGACTACGTCGATCACGACTAGTCATTTGAAGCGTGATGCTGCCTGTGCAAATATAAAGATGACGGCATCACTGTGCATGAATAAGCCGCGGTAACCACGAAAGGTGCAGTCCGACTGCAGTTTTTAATCGGCCGTTCTGTGCGATCGTTTGTCGTAGAATCGCGTCTCGGCGTGCTGTAAAAATGAAGACGAAATCGTACGTGATCCAAAGTATTACCTCCGTTTATCGTCAGTTCATCAGAAAATTTCTCACCACATTCTGTTTAGTCTTTTCGTCTCTGACCTCTCTAATTTTTCAGTTTGTAACATTTTTTCTACGTTTAAATGTTACAAACGCATTTCAATTATCTGTTTGTGTTCATTTAATGATGTATTTTTGTTGAAGTAGAAGGTTTAATATATCTGTGATTATGTAGGATGATTGGCAGCTCAAGATGGCTCGTTGTAGTAGGGATGTTAATGGCAGGATTGTTAACTGTGTTTGCCCAGGCCAGTTACGGTCCTCCAGAGAGATTAACTGGCATGAATCCTTGTATTAGTAAACAAACGTGCCATGAATGTATACAAACTCCACATTGTGCTTGGTGTGCCGCACCGGTAAGTTTATATTAATTTTATTCTAAATATTTGTCTTAAATGACTTATATGAATTGCAGTTGGAGTTTGTATAAATCTTAAATAAAATTCATTTTTTGCAGAAATTCTCAGAAAAGCGGTGCTTCCTTCCAAATATCAACACCAAAATATTTGCAACTTGTCCTCCTGAATATACATGGAATCCAGACAATGTGTTCAGCATGTTAAGACATCGTAACTTAACGAAAGGTGGTTATGCTGCTGGTGGTGCTGCTGGAGGAGGATACGGCAGCATTGAAGGCTCGTATTCTGGTTCATCCTCTAGCTCGTCATCCTCTTCACACTTCCACAAGGAGAGCTCCAGCAGCAGTGGCAGCAGAAAACAAGAAGCTGTCCAAATGTGGCCACAAGAAGTCAATTTGAAGCTTCGAATAAGTGAGTCACTTATCTATGTCGAAATGCTTACAAAGCTTTGTGCCATTTTAGTTGTGAAGTAAAATAACGCAAACACATCTCTGTTTCAGACGAAGCTTACAGAATGTCCTTTGCTTATTCCCAAGCAGAGGATTATCCCGTTGATCTCTATTATCTCATGGATCTGAGCAAGTCTATGGAAGATGACAAGCAAAAATTGTCAGATTTAGGCCAGCTGTTGGTCGAGAGTATGAGTAAAATCACGAGCAACTTTCGCTTGGGCTTCGGTAGCTTTGTCGACAAAGTTGTGATGCCATACGTGAACACGGTGCCAAAATCGTAAGTACTTACAGAAACTGAAGGCAAAACATCTACTATCTGTTTGTGTATACGTTGAATAAATTAAACTTCATCCACTATTTCAGTCTTAAAGAACCATGTGACGGTTGTGCAGCGCCTTACGGGTACAAAAACATCATGAGGCTGTCGCAGGATACAAGCCATTTCGCGGTATGAATGTATACGTGAATACATAGGAAATATATTAGTACACACACATAGAGGGACGTTCTAGACGTTCTATTCATCTACGATGATTTCTCCATGGAATCATTCTTGTTCATAGGGATTAGTGCGGAATGCATTGGTATCTGGCAATTTGGATGCGCCAGAGGGTGGCTTCGATGCCATCATGCAGGCCATAGTTTGTAGAAACCAGATAGGCTGGCGCGAAAAAGCACGCAGACTGCTTGTGTTTTCCACGGATGCTGGTTTCCATTATGCGGGCGACGGCAAACTAGGTGGCATCATAAAGCCGAACGACGGCCTGTGTCATTTGGACATGAACGGCACGTACACCCACTCGTCTCTGCAAGACTACCCGAGCATCTCTCAAATCAATCTGAAAGTGAAGCAAAACGCGATCAACGTCATATGGGCGGTCACGGAGGAGCAAATCAACGTCTACAAACGACTGACGAAACATGTAGAGGGTTCGTTCGCTGGCAAACTCACAGAGGACTCCAGTAACGTCGTGGAACTGATCCGGGAGCAGTACGATGCTATTTCGAGCTCGGTAGAGATGAAGGATACCGCTAGCAGCGCGGTGAAAGTCAAATATTTCTCGAGTTGCTTGGGCACCGGACCAGCGATTGAGACGTCCAAGTGTGACGGCTTGAAAGTTGGCACGAAGGTAGAGTTCATCGCGGAGATCGAAGTCACCAGCTGCCCAGCCAATAGATCGGAATGGAAGCAGAAGTTCGATATTTATCCGGTAAGAGAGCACCTTGTGCTGCGATTGTTACGCAAACGAAATTTATTGAAATCTATCATTAAAAGTAAAAGATAAAAATGGCTCTAACGTATTAAATACAAAAACAAAGAAAGAGAATTTAAGAGCCAGACACGGGTGTAAAAGTGCAATCACTATATTACAATGTAACAAAATATACAATATCGGTTGTATCAGTTTACGTTTCGATCCGATTTGGGTTCTCTTCAAAATACTAAAACTACATACGTAACTTCTACATAACTTCTCGTTAAATTTAAATTTTAATATTTGCGTGCGGTTTACGTCCCCCCCTCTACACAGTGCCTTTCAACAGTTTAGTTGTTATTATTGCTGTTTGTTTCTAACGCACTCTATTTGCTTCGACATCTTCGTACAGTAAACCTTATCTCGTCATATTGACTTTGCCCGCCACATCAGTTGCTTAATTTTATAACATCATATAGGTATTTATATCTTTTTGTATTTTCCTCTCTGTGTTTAATTTTGGTGCATTTTTTGGCTTATTCTATTTTTTAATTTTTCTTTCATTTTAGGAAAAAAAAGTTGAAGCGCAAGGGTCAACAGTAATGTTGTTTATAAGATTAATTGTATAAATTGTGATAAATGTCATATGTAGGTCAAACAGGTAGATTAGTAAAAACGAGAATAACTCCGTAAACTCCCTAAGTTGTCATTAATTTCTGTAATTTGAACATGGAAGTCGCTACTTGTAGATCGGACTTTCCCTGTGAAAATAAGGAAAGCATAAGAAAAGCAAAAAAAGACGTTATTAATTCTATCAATTAAAATTATAGAGATAAAATTTTAATCTTTACTTAATATCATATATGTTTTCTCTTTTGATTAATTTTGAATAGAAAAAAATATTTCGTACAAAATCTTTTTTTAAACGGCATTAAAGACAAATATTTACGTCCAAGGATCTACTCTATTTTAAGTCTAATTCTACTTGAATCTCAGACTAATTTTAGTCTAATATGAAACATAATATGTGACCGTACCGTGTCCCACTTGGACATCATTCTCTCCTTTTCAAATCGGGCGAACTCCCGTCGGATGCGGAAGTGCTTCACATCAAATTAACAATAACATGAGTTTGATTGGGAGAATATCGAAACATTCGACAAAGAGGTTTCCTGTTTTAAACATTTGATTTCTGAAATGTTATATATCAAAAAACAAAAAGAAAAAGGTTTAAACAATCGGACAGACACGGAATTTCTTGGACATCGGATATTCTCGTTAAATTTAAATTTTAATATTTGCGTGCGGTTTACGTCCTCCCCTCTACACAGTGCCTTTCAACAGTTTAGTTGTTATTATTGCTGTTTGTTTGTAACGCACTCTATTTGCTTCGACATCTTCGTACAGTAAACCTTATCTCGTCATATTGACTTTGCCCGCCACGTCAGTTGCTTAATTTTATAACGTCATATAGGTATTTATATTTTTGTATTTTCCTCTCTGTGTTTAATTTTGGTGCATTTTTTGGCTTATTCTGTTTTTTAATTTTTCTTTCATTTAAATTAAGCATTTTAATCGTTTCCCTTGTTGTCATCATTGCAGAGAACTATTTCGTCCAATTTAGCTGGTGCCGCATCGTCTACTTAAACGTTGTTGGCCACATTAGTTTGACCATGGAGAGAAGAGTAATAACATTTGTTTGTATGCGAATGTCGACTGTTGTTCTAATTTGCGTTTTTAACTTTACTTGCGTACGTTTCTTTAAAGATTGATCTTCCGTAACGGTTGATCTTTGCGCTTGAACTTTTTTTCCCTATTGTATTTTCTGAAGAGGACCCAAATAGGGTCGAAACGTAAACTGATATAACCGATATTGTATTCTTTGTTAAATTGTAATATAGTGATTGCGTCTATGCCTGGCTCTTAAATGCTCTTTCCTTTTATCTCCTTTTTTTCTTCCTAACTAGTATTGTTTTAGAAATTTCATCCTGTACTTTGACAGGTCGCAGATTGATTCGAGCTAATGGTTATCTCTTTACAGGTCGGCATCAACGAAACTCTCACAGTGAATCTCGAAATGCTGTGCGACTGCGACTGCGAACGTGAGGGACACATGTACGAGGAGAAGTCGCCCGAGTGTAACGGCGTGGGTACGCTCAAGTGTGGAATTTGCGAATGCTACGACGGCTTCTTTGGCAAACACTGCGAGTGCAGTCCGCATCAAGAAATGACAGGCTTTGATAAACACTTCCAATCGTGTCGACCCGACAACACTACTCTTGTAGACTGCTCCGGCCGCGGAACGTGCGCCTGCGGTCAGTGTGAATGCGAAGAGCGTGAAAATACAGATGAGGTATGCACTTCGTTTTTTCAGAATTTAGACTTATTTTAACGGACATTCTTCATTTTCTTTTTGCTGTACAATATAACAATAGTTTCGAACTAATTAATACGACGTTAAATCACTCAGAAAGAAATTAATATATCTCTTGAATTACAGCACTTGGAGTTAGCAACAAGATCAAATTAGGGATAAAAGTGAAATGATGGCGAAATTTATTGAGCAAAACGAAACACGAATACTAAAGGATCAATCGCATAATTATGTCATAATTATATCAATTATGTCATAATTATATCAATCATACGTTACGAATATTAGTAGCATCTGCGTTTTTATTCTTGCAGGTAATATCAGGACCCTTCTGCGAGTGCGACAACTTTTCCTGCGACAGAGATCAGGGTCAACTGTGCTCCAATCACGGTTCCTGCGAATGCGGTCAATGCGTTTGCAACGCCGGCTGGACCGGACAGTCTTGCAATTGCAGATCTTCCAACGACTCCTGCATCGCTCCGGGAACCACGAACGGCGTGCTGTGCTCCGGTCATGTAAGTGTAACGACGGTGTAGTCATGTTGGCGTTGATTTCCTATAATTGCCAGCAGTTTGCGATCTGTTTCGCGACATCGTTTATGCTGAATTATTCATTTTCACTTACGTTTCTTCCTTTTTCCTGAAGGGCGATTGCATCTGCGGAGAATGTTACTGCCACGAAGAAGGCAACACAAGATATTCCGGCAAGCACTGCAACAAGTGCCCGACTTGCCCGAGTCGCTGTGAGGAGCTGAAGAGTTGCGTGCAATGTCAGATGTACGGCACTGGGAACTACAGCGAGCCGGAGGAGTGCGCGAAGAACTGCAAGGAATTCGTGCCTGAGGGTGTCGAGACGGTGATACTCGACGTAGACAACGACGAGGTGTTGTGCTTCGGCACGGACGAGGACGATTGCAAGTACAACTTTGTGTATTACTACAACGAGACCAACTGCTTGAAGGTACGCGCGCAGAACGAGCGCGAATGCCCGCCGCAGGTTTACATGCTGGGCATCGTGCTCGGCGTAATCGCGGCGATAGTTTTGATCGGTCTCGCGTTACTGCTGCTGTGGAAGCTGCTGACAACGATACACGATCGACGGGAGTTCGCCCGATTTGAAAAGGAGAGAATGATGGCCAAGTGGGACACGGTACGGTCACACATCATATTAAACAGAAATTAGTCTGAGATTCAAGTAGAATTAGACTTAAAATAGAGTAGATCCTTGGACGTAGATATTTTTCTTTAATGCCGTTCAGTGCCAAAAAAGATTTTGAACGAAATCTTTTCTCTATTCAAAATTAATCTAAAGAGAAAACACACATATGATATTAAGTAAAAATTAAAATTTTATCTCTATAATTCTAATTGATAGAATTAATAACGTCTTTTTTTGCTTTTCTTATGCACAGGGCGAAAATCCGATCTACAAGCAAGCGACTTCCACGTTCAAGAATCCGACCTACGCTGGAAAATAATAAATCTCGAGACGGAGGTAACGAGAAAAAGCTTTAGAAAGAACCGCTGCGACGCAATCTCGAACGGTTCGCAATCAAGTTGTGCGCCGGCTGACGGTGCGATATTATCTCGAACTTAGCACGAAGCGGGAATATATGCTTCGGTGAATATATATATATATATATATATATATATATATATATATATATATATATAACAAGATAGATTTTCAGCGTTTATAATTATTTAAAGGATTTAATTTAATACGGTATTTTTAATTGTTGAGATATTTGTAAAGAACGATTTAATACTGCCATATAACATAGACTGTGTATTGCGTGCGTGCATAGAAAGAAAAGAAAAACACGCGCAATTTGTTCACGGACGACTGCAAAGTAACGTCACGTCTCATTACGATCGGCGATTTAAGATCACGCTACTTAGGCTAATTTTGATATTCAAGTGCCTTTAATATTACGACGATGATATGCTTACATTAACCTCTTAGTTACCTTTGCATTTTCTATAACATACATAAACATATATACGCACATATTTTGTATGCTGATAAACAAGCAGCATAAATCGGCGACTCGTTATTTGAAAAGACAAAAGAAGGAACAATAGTGGACACAGGTATCTCATTGTCCTTTTTTTTATCATAAACTAAATGACTCAAGGATCTTCCTATATTAGGCGCTTTTCAGTGAAGAGACAAATTTGTCACACCATATCGATTGTATGGTTTGCTGGAAAGCTCCCATTATATCTTTTACTCAACGACATACGTATCTATGACATATACGTATATACGAATATTCATAAAGATTTCTTATAAAGAAGTTTTTATAAATCTACAATATATTTATTAACATATTTTCGAAAAATGAGTTCATTAGTGTGTTTCATATTGATTTATATTAAATCTAATGATGTTTGCCATATTTTATAGGTACTCTTTAGAGGTTCTCAGCAGCCATATTTTACAGTATTTTATAAAAATTTATTTTTGTATATCCAGGTACATGTGTCGTTGCTCTTACTAGTGCAATCCATGAAGCATTACACTTCATGCAACAAAATCTGACTGCATTTATTCTCGGATATTTTGTCTTATTAATATAATCGCTTTAATTGTAAAACATTATTTTACCTCTCTCTTGTCGTGTGACTCGAAAGTGTGTTTATAGGAAATTGTATAAATGTATAAAGTACTGCCCGAGCCTATAGAAGTAAGTTTTAACTCCGCGTTATAACGTTAGTTAAACTGCACGATTATATGATACATATACACGAGAGGCATATTTTATTTCACATACGTAAACATATATTACAGATGTGCGTAACCGGTTACAAGATATTTAATGTAATCTCTATAGAGAGATCAGAATTCTGGAGTATACAGAGTGAATAATTTTGAAAAAATAAGTCCGGTATGCGAGTTGTCACGTCTAATCGTACGTGATAATTGGTCTATTTGAAGCGACTTATATCTTGTTTCGAAGGAAGTCTCGAGGAAGTTTATACAAAATAGGACTGAAATGTTTATCTTTCAATTGTTTTCATCACGAATCTCCCAAAGCGATATCGCGCGAACAATTAAGATGCGTAGCATAATAAAATTGTTCTTTTTTATTGTAATAATTCTGACAAACATGAATCGCGTTCTATTGCATAATCATTGTATTCGCTCGCCGTGTTGTTTTCGTTCTCACGAAAACCGACAGTTTTATCTTTTTGACAATTTTATAGCAGCTATAACTTTGCGCGATGACAAAATCAGTATATTGACGACGCTATTAATAATTATGTTTCTCGTTTTCTTTCTTTTTATACTAGCTTGACTCGAATTAATTGTTATTATCTATATTACTCCACGTGCGATCGATCGCAAAACTCAACGGACTTCGATGTAAACATTATGCGAGGATTAATAAAGATGATGTGTTAGTAAATACGTCGTTATGTTGTATGTGTATTTACGGCAATATTGAAAGCTGTCTTCTTCAGAGACAGTGATAGTAGAGGTTGAGAGAAACAATTATCTGATATTAGTATTTAAAATTAGCCATAGCAGCTTATGTCAAATCATAAGGAATGAAACAGCGATAGCAATGTTGATTTTGGTTTGAACGTTCGAGCACGATATTGTAAACGCGTGGTTCGGTTTGTAAAAATTAAAAAAAAAGTATGGGTTCCACGAAAGATAAGCTTCCGGAAACGAATCCTGTCGTTACCACCTCTTGGGCCCAGCTTGCTTTACTACCTGATGTATTGTAAGTTAACAGAATTTCTGTTATGGGCGGGTCATTTGAGAGAAAGCTATAAATTGGGAAGATAAGAAGAGAAAATAATTTTATATTTAATCTCTGAGGGATAAATATTTACTTAAAAGGAAAAACGATACGGACGGGTCATTTGAGAGAAATCTATAAATTGGGAAGATAAGAAGAAAAAAGAATTCTATATTTAATCTCTGAGCGATAAATATTTACTTAAAAGGAAAAGGAAGAAGAAGAAAAAAGAATTCTATATTTAATCTCTGAGGGATAAATATTTACTTAAAAGGAAAAACGATACGGACGGGTCATTTGAGAGAAATCTATAAATTGGGAAGATAAGAAGAAAAAAGAATTCTGTATTTAATCTCTGAGCGATAAATATTTACTTAAAAGGAAGAAGGAAAAGGAAGAAGAAGAAAAAAGAATTCTATATTTAATCTCTGAGGGATAAATATTTACTTTAAAGGAAAAACGATACGGACGGGTCATTTGAGAGAAATCTATAAATTGGGAAGATAAGAAGAAAAAAGAATTCTGTATTTAATCTCTGAGGGATAAATATTTACTTAAAAGGAAAAACGATAAGAAGGAATTAGATTTTCTCTCTCTCTCCCGCGGAATAAAGCCGCAATCGAAAGAGAAAAGAAGACCTGACAGCGAGGAAGGATACTCGCGTACACCTACACGTACGGACGTCGCGGACGGCGGAACGCACCTCGCGTGCGCGTCGCCGCTGTCACGTGTACACGCGCCCAGGAGTAAGAGAAGGCAGGAGGGGGTAGGACAGAGTGAAAAAAAGCGAGCGAGCGAGCGAGAGGGAGAGTGGGATCGCGCAGCGCCGTACTACCAGAGACAGACGTGCGACATAATACTAGAGCGTACGTCAGTCGCGGCCTCCATCGCGCGTCATCGGTCACGGCGTACAACGACGCAACATCATCATCGTCTCGGTCGTCTCGCAGCGGTCGCGGCGACGACAGAACTGCGCGTCTACTCGGTCGTTGCGGCGCACATCCACGGTGCTGTCGCGGTGCGCTCTCGGGAGGTCGGACTTCGCGGAGACGGTGTTTTGCGAGTCGCGTGTCACGGGGTGGCGAGCGAACGGGATCGACACGGCGCGGCACAGCTGTACCACCGTCGCGCGACACCGTAGGGGGGTGTGTGCGTGTGTCAGCTGTCCTGGCGCTGCCCTTTGCGCCTCCGCGGCGTCTCGCCCGTAGAGGAGCGCACCTGCGAACTCTCGCCTTCTCGCTCGCGCACGTGTCGCGGGGACCGTCACCGCGAGTCGGTGCTGAATCCTCTCTCGTTCTCGCTCGTTCTCGCGTCCGTACACCCGTATCCCGCCTCTTCCCCTTCGGAGTCCTCACGGAGCGATCTCGGCCGCTCTCGGCCGAGAGTAGCGCGGCGCGGAGCCGCGGAGGGAAACCCTCGCGGAGGAATTCCTACCGTCGTCGTCGTAGTGGTCGTTGTCGAACGACGACCGACTCCACCACCCCCCAATTGTCACGCGCGCTATAAATACACCCGCGCGCGCGGCGGTTTTTCACCGGAGTGCCATGCCCGCACGGAGCGTCAATTAGGACGACGAACACGACGAAGAAGAAGACGACGACGACGACGACGACGAGCTACAGAGCCGCGCGAGAGCAGCTACGCGACAAACTGGACGCGACGATCGCGGCAGCGCGATGGAACGGTTCGTGAAATTCGCGTGTTACTGTCGACGGACGCGGAGCGACAACGCGCCTACGTCTCCTTCGTCGTCCTCGCAGGTCGGGCCCACCGCTGATCCGTCGTCTTCCGCGGCTTCCGCTGCGGCGGCGGCGGAAGCCTCGCGACAGCAGAGGAGTCAGGAAACCGAGCACGGCGACGGCCGCACCGGTGACAACACGCGACCGCTCTGGAACTTCCTGCGGAGGATCCTGTCTGTGGAAAACTTGGTCAAGAGCGTTCCAGTCTTCCTCACGGGCAACATAGTTTTCGTGTACGTATTTGTAACAGTACATACTGTGAATGTACGTTCTCCAAGGGAGGAGGAAGGTGGAGCGAGGAGAGGAGAGAGCGATAGTACACAAGAGTGTTCCGGGTCCTTTGTTTCCCACGTTAAGGATCTCTCCCCTTTGTCCTCTCTCCTCTCTCTCCTCTCTCTCCCTCTCTGATTCTCGCGTGCGCGTTGTCGATATGCTCCCGCGGAGTTTTAACGCGATTCAACCAGCGCGCCTCTTCTCTCATCGCGAATATCAGACATTTGTTTCTTACCAGCTCTCGCGTCTTTTCGATTCTCTCTCTCTCTCTCTCTCGCGCGCGCGCTTCCCGTTCACAATCACCCGATCACGGTTATCGGCCTACGTTATGTATTAGCGATTTACGCGCGTTCTCATCCTCTTTCTCTGCGTCTCGCGCTCTCCTCCGTGTTTTCTCGCGATGACGCGCCGCGCTTCCCGTGACGTCACGTGCCGCGTTACAGCTGTTTTACGTTTTGCAAGTAACTTGCCTTGTGGGTCAAGGCCGCGTCTCGCGCGGACGGATGAACGCTTCGTGGGGGATTTAGCAACGAATCGGTTATATATACATATATAATGTGTGCATGTGTATCAATGTGTATGCATATGTTTACAATCGCGCGACTGTGCGTAGTATGTACGCAATACCACGGCGTGAACGCTGCGCTGTATCGCTCCAGTGACAAAAATCTTGTGCCGATAAGATCGAGCTTTAATTTTCACGCGCGCATGCGCCAGGCAAAGTTCTGGCGCACAACAAACGAACGCACGCACGCTCGCGCTGTCCGCAGGACTTTCGGACACGTTTAGTCGCATTTGAGTTTTTATTCGGACACGTTCTCGATCAGCACGTTCTCCTATCCGTAAGTACGCATTAGAGAGCGCATTCACGCGTTTCGTCGTGCCGTAATCCCCGAATAACTCCAAATCTGTTGATATGAGTAAGGAGAAAGTTTCTCCTGCGTTTTAATGAGAAACTCGCAAGCGGGAAAACACGTGAGTTTGCTCCCCCGCGAGACATTCGTTCAATTGTTCGCCAATTTTGAATGAATCGATTGTTATTGTTATTGAAGAGCGAATGCATACGTATGTATCAACAAACGAACTCGGTGTTTCCGCGCTTGACGTAATCGTTTGTTTACTTAAAGGATTTTCCTCATGCTACATCTTCGTGGCTTATCTATGAGCAGCGGTATCTTACTACTTCTGACGATTTGGTTCAACATGATATTGATCATACAGATCATCACAAATCATCATACAATGGATTTCGAGATCGAAATGTAAGTTTCTGAAGAGGAGGTGAATCTAAGATGACCAAATTTCCCAGTTCTGAATTCGGGACACTTCATAAATGTGTGAAGCGGGGGGAGAGGGGGGTTAAAAGATCCGAAAATTATTTGACAATCATTGAAAATGATGACAAATCGGTGTCCCGAGTAGCACTTGAAAAAATTCGGGACGAAAGGTGAAAAATCGGGACGTCTAGTCACCTTAGGTGAATCGAAACGTGAATCAAACCGCTGAGTATCTCCTCGTGTCCGAAGTAGTGATCGAATCTGTGTATTGAGCATTGATCTATTTGCTTTAATTGCGATCATTAGCATTGTCTGTATTTAAAATTTTGTATATATATTTGGAGAAAGGAAGACTCGTTAAGTGCGAGACATCTGCGGCTAAAACGAACAAACTTATTAGTTTTATCATGTGTGTGTATGTGTGACTCAGAACTTGGAATTTCGAAAACTAAGTTAAAAGCGTAAAAAATTCAAGATAACGCAATCGTTATTCGTAAATATTTTTTATATTTTAATTGTATCTGTATATTTTAGTTGTATTGTATTTATATTTTAATTGTATTGTATTACAATCGGTTGATTAAGCGTAGCAACATTTTTCCTCGATGAGTTTTGCTAATATATCCCTTGAGAATTACTAAAAAACAATTTCTACTGAACGTAAAATGCGTTACGAAACTCGTTGCGAAACTCATCGAGAAAAGTATTTACCTTTACTCAATCGACTATATGTGTGCGTAGTTAAGCTTTCGAGAAGAGTCTAGAAGTTTCGTCGTATCGACCTAATTTACGAAGATACAACGAAAAGAAATATAATAAGGATAATCGTTACACTTAATTTTACATCTAACTCGAAATCAATTGCTTAATTAATCATTTAATTTGATCAAAAAATTGTTAAACAGTTTACACATTTTATCATATAATCTACACAATTGTTTTATCATCAATTATTAATTAATCTTATCGTTGTTTTTTATATTTTTTATTTTTATTATTTATTATTTGTATTATTTACTTATTTCCCTGTACAATTGTAAATCTTCACAAAATCCAAATCTGGTCACTGTAACTTGTTGCGCAAGATATTTATGAATTTTTGTGAAAAAAAAAGGAAGATCAAGAAAGTCAGGAAAAAAGGTCGCATTATGTAAAGAAAAAAAGATACGAACGGTCATAGAAAAAGAAATATAGGGAACTTTTGACCTCTTTTATCTAAAAATTTCCATCTTCCGAAAAAGAATAATAAGAAAAGAAACGCGTGTTTAACGTAAACTGTAAGAACGTAACGTGTGAATAGATGTGACGTTACATTGAGAATGAAAATGTTAGAGAGATAAAATTTATCGCTCTTTCAGGTTGTTTTCGAAGCTCGACCAACTCAAGCAGATGGCGAAAAAGATGTTGCACAGCATGGGACAGTTGCGGGACGAACAGCCGGGCTTGGTAAATTTACTCTCTGTCAATGATGCCGATTTACTGTTACCATTTACAATTGTTAATTACACGTTCGAATTGCAATTTCAGTTTTGCATCGCTGCGTGTTCCGTGTCTGTGATAATGTGGCTTTTGGACTACGTGATGAATGGCATGCTGCTCAAATATATATTCTTTATGCTCATTCTACTGATATCAGCAGTGATGATATATTTAACTGTCAGGAGGCTTTCTGTACGACCTCCACCAAGCAATCGTAGAGGTAACGGAAAGTGATCAAGTCTCGCTAAGGAAGATCTTAATCCTTTTAATAATCCATTTTTCTAAAAATTAATTTGTCATACAAAAGTTAAATGAAGAACATTAAGACTTAAGAAAATTCTCAGAAATCAGATTAATTATTTAGAAAATTACGATTGTAATTAAGATATAAATTGTAATTAAAATAGCCTTCTTTTATCTTCTTTTGAAGATAAAAAGAAATGTATGATATGAAATAGCCGTTATTTTATCATTTGGGAATCTCTCTCATTGTAATATTACTAATGCGCAAATTAACGTACATTAAAATCTACTAACAACTTCTTTTCTTTTTCTCAGAATCGGACAGTGAGATCGAGGAATTTTTACCAGCAGCCACTGAGACAAATATTCAGATATTGACGAAAGCTGGTGACGTTGGAGAGTACTCGTCAACGCCGACGAGCGCATTGGCGGAAGCACCGAAAGAACATGAAGAACAAGGTGAGTGTAAAGATCTGCACAAGTTCCGTTTGATAAATTCTACAAATAATCTCAAATGTCGAAGGTATTCATTGGAAAACTCACGCGATAACTAATTGCAAGACTGATTTTATTTCTTTGCATTTATCGATCCTGGATTTCTTTAACTGGACTTAGCCGGCTTATCGCACGGATTGATATCCATACAATATCACTAGGTTTATGTTTTGATGTCGTGTTTGTTATGTCCATTTATTAAGAGACAAAACATAACATTTGATATTTGAACTCTTTTTTTCTTTCCATAAGAGCAGTACTTTAGATGTTAGTGCGATTAAGTGGCCTGTATGAAGTTAACCCCCCACTTTTCGAATTTATTAATTTTGACAGTTGTGCTGATTTGTGCTAGGTTTGTGCTACATTGTGCTCGAATTATAAATTTTTAATACGAAAAATGAGCGAGAAAAATGGAAAAAACCGTTTTTTTTTTGGTAGCCCCCCACTTTTTGATTTTCGAAATTTTTTTTATTGTGCTAAGTTGTGCTAACATTGTGCTAAAGTATTATCTTCGAAAAATAATCATGAAAGGAATAAAACGAAAAAAACGATTTTAGGCAGAAAAGAAGAAAAGTAAGATTTATACTCGTATAAGTCAATCAAACGATATATAATTATATATCTGAGCTGCTCTAGGCTAGCACAAGTCAACACAAGCTTCAGTTTCGCCAGCACAATAATCTAAAGGGCACTTTACTCTTGACCGCGGCCCTTCGCGCTCGCAGCCTATGTCATTAATCACGACTTCTAGACTTTGGATCGACTCAGAATTGCATATCTGAGTTGTGCTAGCCTAGTACAAGTCAGCATAAGCTTTAGTTTCGCCAGCACAAAAATATTAAAGGTATTTTATTCTTGATTTTCGCAACCTTTCGCACGCGCAACTTGATCAGGATAATATTAAATTACACGGAAGTAAAGAAGATATCTCTTTTTGTTGTGCATTTGTTTTCTGCACGTATGGCGTTCCACCGCGTCAAGGTGGAAATTATCGGAACGGTTTTTTTGTATTTTTTTTGTTTTTTGTATTTTTTGTTTTTTGTATTTTTTTGTTTTTTTATTTTTTTATCTTTTTTTTATATGTTTTTGTTATTTTTTGTTTTTTTTCTTGTATTCTAAAATTTTTGTCGTTTTCGTTTTAATATTTTTTATTTTATATTGCTGTAAAATCATCTGCTTTATGTTAAAATTACTGTTTTATTTTATTAGTACATAAACATTAGTTTTTGCTAGTTATTAAATTTTCACTATACCATATAATAATATAATATAATGAAAATCAAGATTAAAGAGTAAAGTGTCCTTTACATTCTTGTACTGGCGAAACTGAAACTTATGCTGACTTGTGCTAGGCTAGCACAACTCAGATATGCAATTCTGAGTCGATCCAAAGTCTAGAAGTCGTGATTAATGACATAGACTGCGAGCGCGAAGGGCCGCGGTCAAGAGTAAAGTGCCCTTTCGATTCTTATGTTCGCGAAACTGAAGCTTGTGCTGACTTGTGCTAGCCTAGAGCAACTCAGATATATAATTATATATTGTTTGGTTGACTTATACGAATATAAATCTTACTTTTCTTCTTTTCTGCCTAAAATCGTTTTTTTCGTTTTATTCCTTTCATGATTATTTTTCGAAGATAATACTTTAGCACAATGTTAGCACAACTTAGCACAACCTAGCACAATAAAAAAAATTTCGAAAATCAAAAAGTGGGGGGCTACCAAAAAAAACGGTTTTTTCCATTTTTCTCGCTCATTTTTCGTATTAAAAATTTATAATTCGAGCACAATGTAGCACAAACCTAGCACAAATCAGCACAACTGTCAAAATTAATAAATTCGAAAAGTGGGGGGCTACCAAAAAAAACGGTTTTTTCCATTTTTCTCGCTCATTTTTCGTATTAAAAATTTATAATTCGAGCACAATGTAGCACAAACCTAGCACAAATCAGCACAACTGTCAAAATTAATAAATTCGAAAAGTGGGGGGCTACTACATACAGGCGATTAAGTGTGAATGCAAGGATAATAATATTTGACGCACGCGCTCAATGTTTTTTCGACTTTACAACATACGCGGTAAATCCAACTTTTGACGTCAAACCGACCCTGAATCTCTATTATTATTTAATTAATTCCCTCTTTTAAAATTTGCAATACTTCTTTTTTTATTTTTAAATATAAAATATATTCTGTAAATTTTTATTGGATATTTTGTATCTATTTTGTTTTTTGACTTTCTTTTTTTATCGCTGAGGAAGGTCCACGAATGGACCGAAACGCGTTTGGTAACATTAAAAATCATGCTATAATGATAAATAAATTTCTCCTACATCTATAGAGAACAGTCACTAATTATTTTATTAGTTTTCATCGCACTGTAACATCTATGTTTGAACTCTCTCATTGTCCTTATTGAACTTCTGATTTTAAATATACAGGGTGTCCCAAAATTGGTAGAATACCCGTTAGAGGTAGGTAGAGGGTGCAATTTGGAATTGAAAGTTCCTCTTGCATTTTTGGATCCGACAATTAGTTAACGAAATATTAATGAATTAAGTCTGCCAATCTCTTATCGTCCCGAGTGAGCGCTCAGAGACGTAGAACGCTGTGGACTTTTCAGGGGCCCTTCTTGTCCGTTTGTCTCCCCTTTTTGTATCACAAGGGAATAAATGTGGATGAGTGAGTGAGTGGATATGTTGTGGGTGAGTGCCTGACCGGGACTAGGAGGGGAGGGAGGGTGGCAAGTTTTCTGTATGTGGGAGTAATATGCGGGTGTTTTTGTGTGCGATTATGAGTGCATGGATAATTTAAATGTTTGTAGTGAAAATGAGCGGAATGATTGCGCTTTATATGCCGGAGGGAGAGGACATGTGTGATATGCTTCCTTCGAGTGCGTGGATGACTTGAATGTTTTCTGCACGTCGGTGGTTGAGTACTGTGAATAATTTTAGTATGTGTGTATGGGGGGTAGGGAAATGGGAAGTGTAAGTGATTTTCTTGCGTTGTGTGTATGAGAGGCACACCCCTAACGGGTGTTCTACCAGTTTTGAGACACCCTGTATATCATACATAATATATATTTAAATATTTTATACATATATAAATGATAATTTAGATTCTAGCGCACGGCACTTAATAAATCTTATCTTTCTCTTAATTAGATGTATATTTTTAAAGGCTTTAATATGTAGAGTTTAGTTCTTTTTCTTTTTATATACGTACACAACATTCAGAAATCAAACTCGCCGAAAGTTTAACGATTTCAACCTTCACCTGTTCAGTTCTGTTTAGAATTAAGAGTTATTTACTTTTCATCAGTTTTCTCTTAATTTTAATATATTTATCTTAATTGTTTATTCACAGAATTTCTCAACGATAACGACCTCGCGGGTCATAAAATGCCATCGCACGAAGACGGCAGTTCGGACGGTCTAGAGCTTTCGGATCTAGAACTCTCGGAGAAGAGTTCTACATCTTCCTGTTCTGGTCAGAGCGACAGCGAATTCGAGATAATTGACCAACAGGAAATCGGCAAATTGTGCACGTCGCAAAATACGACATAATGAACGATCGCTATGAGACTCGAACAAATGACAGCTGAATACATAGTAATATGATTTGATTGATTGCCTATCTCAGCTTTACAATCTCCGCTTGTAACTATTTTAATAATGTTACTTTAATCCCTATTTATATATTCTGATTAACGACGAATCAAAACGATTTCGCTTAAAATTTCGAGTACAACACAACGGTGTATGTGCGTGTAGAAAGTCTCGACGTAACGATCGACAGTGAATGAACGTGAGAGAAACCAAATTTTATTCATTTAGACAGATAGGTGTACCTGATGATACGTGTACTGTATGACACCTGACACACTCGTACTGTATTACAATCGTATTTATTATTTTAACAGTAATAGAGGAATATGTACATTTGCGATGTAATAAATATGCACATGTGTACAAACGTTTTATCCGAAGTCAGTCATGCAGTCATGCGCTTGATCCGACCTACGGCGATTAATTAGCTACAGCACTCTGAAAATGAAAACGATAGCAAACACATAAATCGGCCGATCGAGTAAAGCTCAAAAGTCAATGGGGTAAAATGCAGTAACGTGTGATTACTCTCTACATTTATTGTATTATATTATACAACTTTCAATGTACGAACGCGCGAGGCACGTACGGACTGCACTCGATAAGCGTGAAGGAACGTTTACGCTATGTGCGCAAAAGAATGTATTATATTGTCACATGTATTTTGAGATAATCATAGGAGAAACAGATGGAAGTACAAGAGATGAGAGAGAGACAAATTTTGGAAGAAAGAGCGAATAGATTGCTTTTGTGAGGCGAGGAGAGAAAATGCGATAAGGAACGGAAACGGAAGCTCCAAGATAGAAATAAGTTAAAATAAGATAAAAATAGAATATAAGAGATATATCTCTCAATGTACCTAATCAAAAAATCAGTCTCGAATCATGTATCTGATGTCACTAATGGCCTGATCTTCTTCACTATGAGTTGCGTATTTATTCTAACGGCTTGTTGAGAGCTTGATTTCCTACCGACCAAGACCTCGTCGATGCGGAAGTAGTGTACTCGCGAAAGGACAGAAACCGCAATTTCTTGGAGCTCACGGATCTGGAGCGTCACAAGACGAGCCTTTGTCGTTCACAATTTACGAGAAAATCGCGTTAAGGGAATGCTAAGAGAGCAATCAATATTAGAGTGGATCTCCTTCGCGAAAAGCAAAGAAAAGAAAGGATGTACACAAGTCGACATGTAATAGCCTTACATATGAGAGAAATCATATATTTTATGTGAAAAGTTCCACGACGTCCCCCATAAAAAAATTTATATTGATATCTAAAATCGTATATATATATATATATATATATATAATTATATAAATTATGTACAAAGTGGTCCACTTAAATCGAACATCTTGAATACTTCACTTATTTTTAATAATATGAAAAAATATTTAAGATGAAAGTGGAAAGGTGTCGAGAGAGGCACATTTTCGTCACATTTTTTTTCTAGGTCACCATTTTGAACATCTTGATTAAATTTTTTGTCAGAACAAAGTATAAAATATCTTGTAAATTATTGATTTTTAGACAATTATACTTCTTAGTATTTTTATGCATAAAATAAATAGAGGTATCATATTTATAAAAAAAAAATCATAATTCCATTTAAAAAAGTAAAGGCGACCTTCATATCTTTTTAACGCCTCCACCTAGAAAAAAGCAATGTGACTAAAATATGTCCTCCTCGACACCCTTCCACTTTCATCTAAAACATTTTTCCGTATCATAAAAAATAAGTGAAATGTTCAAGGTGTTCTATTTAAGTAGACCACTCTGTATATTATATGATTATATATATACTATTATCTAAATTTTATAGCTTTATATGTTAAGACTATCATGCCGAAATGTGTACGCATGTCACGTGTACAAACGTGTCTATTCACTGTATTATTGACGTACGGACGGTGTGCGAGTAGATGAGAAAGAGAGAAAATGGTTATGGTCGATTGTAGAAAAGTAAGTGTAACGTAATTTAAGATGTTAGCGTTTAAGGAAACGGAAGACCATTGTATCCCAAGCGCGGGAACGTTGAATAAATAGAGTCACACACTGCAACTGTGTACTCGTGAGATGTGTAAAATGCAATCAGTAAAAGTGCGCGAGGAGAATCGAGGCGACAAAATGTCGAGTCTACGTGAATTTTTGTATGTAGTCTGTTTCTAATTGGTGTTTGCCGTCTTATTCTTGTGTACGCATCTCTATATTTGAAAATATAACGAACGATACAAAAATATGTCGTTATATACAAAATTCTCATTTACCATGCTGAGCGCAGCCTCTACTCTGCGACGTTCACTTCCACGCTGCAGTCAAGCCGGTCGGTCGTTTCGTCGGAAACCTGCGCGCTTACCAGCGACGTATCGCGCGCGTCGGTGGACTTCGAGTCCGACGATTCTTCCTGCTTCTGGCATTGCTCAAGAACGATCGGTTGAGCGTTTTTTCTCTCCGGCAATACTTTCAAAAACGCCTCTTGCCAAGTATCGCCCTCGGTTATTCTCAACAATATTTCAAAGACTAAAAGAAAGTTTAGATCTCTCTGTATTCGGTGTTCAATTATCATCGATATATCGACGGATATCGGCACTCTGCTTACCATGATCTATAGTCAAGACTTTCCTCGCTTTCATCTGTAGAAATTTGTCCAATGGTAATCGCCCGTGCCTAATGCCTGCCTCATTCGCTAGTTTGTGACAGATACCCTACATTTTAAGCACTTCAGTGGAAACAGAAAGTCAGCAAAGCCATTTGAAGACATTTGAATCTTACCTTGTGAAAATTATGGTCAACCAAACCACCTATGACATAGATGAAATCGTGATCCAAGCGCTCTATCACATTTTCTGACTCACTCGTGAGATAAATGATTTTGTCCTTAGGATAAATATTTATATATGACTTTGTATGAAAGTTCACCTGCAAGATCCAGTAACAGTTCAATGTATATATCCAATCAGTTATGCATATCTTTTCATAAAATAGAGAAAATCTGTAAATATATTGCCTTACATCCCAATGTTCATATCCATTGTGCTTCTCCATGTCGTCCCTGGATTTACCAGTGAAACTGGAGAGAGAAAATTGCAAAGGGGCTGCTGCTCTTCTATTCAAAGTATAGCACCTTAGTATTTGTTTTGTTAACTTAGCAATGTCCTTATCGATCATTAACTCATCGAATGACAAATCAATGGTCACTGTGAGCTTGCAAGAGCTGGCTGCCATGGTACTTCTCTTTAGAAACTTCCTAGACGGGCCCAGGCTCAAGTTATTCGCACGTGCGTGGGCACGTTTCTCCCTTGTTTTAGCTCTCTCTTGTAATCTGCACTGATAAACATATAGTTAGCAGCTAATTTCAAGTTTGCAGTAATGAGGAAACAATACATCGAAAACAAACGGAAAGACTTTCTCTCGTAAATGTGAATATCTGCAGATTCCATAAATTTTTCATTGAAGAGACGGGGAAAATAGATGAGATATCAGTGTTTTCTAACCTTTTTTGAACTTTCCGCTTCAGCCATTTCTCCCGTTTCTTCACTTTTTTCAACTGACTCTTGCTCAAAACCCTCGGTAGCTCGAGTAACTTATTTACAATTACGGTCTCGCTGTTTTCTGTAGAATTTACATTATCCATATTGTTAAATAATCGTGAAACTTGAACGCGTGTGATTCTTCTCTTCTTCCTTTATTTTGACTGAACTCGGTGATATTAGACGCAACAGGTTTTTCCACGACGTCGTTAGATGGCACGGCCGTCGACTTATCAAGTTCACCGCGAAAATTCAAACGTTGCAGTTGATCTACAGTTGATGTTTATTTTCATTACGATGTGTTGCAAATTGTACACATGTACGCGTACATTATAGGACGAAGTATAACGAGAAACGTTTCTCACGTCGATTTTAGTCAACATTCACTCGTTCCAACGAAAATGATGATTAAAGGCAGACATACAACGAATCTGGCTACCATAAAAGCAGCAGCTGCGTCCATCGTAACCTCTACGCTGAGCGGATCGAGTTTACCGCCATGATCTGATCCGCGCTATCGGTGCCGCTGAAATATCAATATTTAAGATTACATACAACTTCTTCATGTGCATTGTTTACGTCACTCGGTATGGAATGGCATGATATATCGTTCCTCGCAAGATACAGCTGTCGCATTCCAGTCGACCGATTAATATGGCTCGATGTTACCACCAAACAGATCTGGCGAATGTCGCGAGTCCTATAAACACTGATTTCTCGTTAACAATGTGAACTATCTCTCCTGCGACGCACAGTGCGACGACGTACACGTGTATTGACATAGATATACATAAATATATGCATATATGTATATATGTGTATATTTAGATGACTGTAAATAATGGTGTTTTGGGCCATCGTTTACCTGACAGCAATATTTCTGCGCTCCACACAAGCAAGTAAGTGTCTCTATATCATAAATATTATACAAGCAACACAATTGCACAAATGCACAAATTATTTGATATTGCTCTTTGCTTAAGGATCAGAGTCGCATGGTTACTGTGCCCCATACAGCGGAGAGATCTGTAAGAAATATCTTGCTGGTATTGGGAAAGTATGGTTCAACGATTCCAAAGACAATCCTGGTGGATTGTTAAACGAGCAAATCACCACGGATCTGTGGGACGAGTTGATACTGAGGCTTGGGGAACCATGTCGTTCAGCAGCAGAGGTAAGCAACTACATGTCCATATATTTTTAGTAATTTAGTATCAAGAAGCATTAAAACTAATTGAGCAACTTGATTTCTTTCTTAATTAATAAAATTCTTAATATATTATGTGTATGCTTGCAGAAAATGCTGTGCATGTATGCATTCCCATTGTGCCACGAATCAGTAGGCTTACCCTTGTGTTACGAAGACTGTATGGCCATACGTCTTCAGTTCTGCTTCACCGATTGGGCGATGATTGAAGACAATAAACAACGAGACATTTACATCCGCTCACGTGGACACTTTGTGTTACCAGAATGTGAAAGTCTGCCCAAAGTGAACAAAACGGTACCTACGTGTTCGCACGTGCATCTGACTGATATGGACGAGGAGGACGTAACGTGTAAGTCACTCTGAATTTTGGATAATTCAACAACGTATACGTGAAATATATAATTGTATTGATTCAATAATTGACTTGTAGATGACTGCATCAGGGGCAACGGTAGATTTTATATGGGGAAGGTGAATAAAACCAAATACGGATTGAACTGTCAGACGTGGAGCGTGCAGATACCACACAGCCATGACAAGCCTCCCGATGTCTTCCCACAGATTCGTCACGGCGAGAACTACTGTAGGAACGCGGGCGGTGATGAGCCAGTGCCATGGTGCTTCACGACTAATTCTTCAATACGCTGGCAACATTGCGATATTCCTGTATGTGGTGAGTAGACAATGAAGATAACAAAAATGCTCCAAGTTTCAGTATGATTGTCGTGCAATTCGTTTTAATAATTATTTTCTCAGATAATGTTACGAGTAAAATATTGGACATTGAACCAAAGGACTCCGAGGTGGAAATGCTGGTCACACCGGCGATGATATTCATGCTATCATTCGTAGGCTTCGCGATCGTAGTTGGCATATTCCTGTTCGTCTTGTTCATCCTGCTAAGCCAAAGACTACACAAACGCCAACGAGGCTACAATCCGACTGATAATCAAGTACGTATTCTCGGACGTTAGATTTACATGTACAGGATGGTACAAACAAACCAGGATAACTTCTCATAAAACGCCTAATTTTACATTATCTATACTTTCTCGGTTTCACCATTTAGTTGTCGAATATCTTGTGCATTATAATGATCATAGGAACGTTACAGGACGTGGACATCGACCTAGACAAGCTACCAAACAACGAGGCCTACCACAAGACGAGCGCGCAGCTGAATCCAAAGTTGGAGAAGCTCGAATTCCCGCGAAACAACATCATTTACGTGCGCGATCTGGGTCAAGGTGCGTTCGGCCGCGTATTCCAAGCGAAGGCGCCAGGACTGGTGCTGGGCGAGGAGTTTACCAATGTCGCCGTGAAGATGCTGAAAGAGGAGGCGTCGGACGACTTGCTGGTGGACTTCGAACGCGAAGCGTGTCTGCTCGCCGAATTCGACCATCCAAACATTGTGAAGCTGCTTGGCGTGTGCGCGTTGGGACGACCCATGTGCCTGTTGTTCGAGTACATGGGCCGTGGCGACCTGAACGAGTTCTTGCGTTCTTGTTCGCCGAGCAGCTACGTTATACGCAGCACACAGGACCGTGAGGATGGCAATGCGATGAACTCACGACTCTCGCACATGGACTTGATCAACATCGCGCTGCAGGTAGCGTCCGGCATGGTGTACCTGTCCGATCGGAAGTTCGTGCATCGCGACCTCGCCACGCGGAACTGCCTGATAAACGACCAGATGATCGTGAAGATCGCGGACTTCGGCCTGTCGCAGAAGATCTATTTGCAGGACTACTACAAGGGTGACGAGCAGGACGCCATACCCGTGAGGTGGATGCCACTAGAGAGCATACTTTACAACAAGTACACCGTTGAGTCCGACGTGTGGGCGTTCGCCGTGTGTCTCTGGGAGATCTTCAGCTTCGCGCTGCAGCCGTACTACGGGATGACGCACGAGGAAGTGGTCAAGTACATCAAAGAGGGCAACGTGCTGCGCTGCCCCGACAACACGCCGCAATCGATATACTATTTGATGAAGCTCTGTTGGAATAGGCGACCATCCGATCGGCCTACCTTCCGCACGATCTACCAGACCCTCGACGGCATCAAGCATGAACTGGAGGCAGAAAACAAGTCGGACAGCGTCCCGCTGCGCATCCGCGTGTGAACGATCAGGCTGACGAAGAAAGATGACAACAATGATGATGATGGTGGTACCGGCCTCTCTCTTTCTCTCTCTCTCTCTCTCTCTCTCCCCCCCCTCTCTCTCTCTCTCTCTCCCCCTCTCTTTTACTCTCTCTCTATTTCTCTCAATGACGGCGCTTCATCGATTAAGAGTAAGCGACATCACTTGTGTGTGCGTGTGTGCGTGTACCTACACTTCACGATTATACATTTTCAGGTAAGTAACTTCGTGTTGTACTATAAATGTGACATGGAATGCCTTCTTAGTTGGATTCGCCCGGCCCGATCGGTCGCGAATCGGTCGTGCCGCGTCGCGCGGGATGAGAAATGGACCAATTACACGTGGAAAACTTGCGAGACGGAGAACGCGATATTTGCACGATGCGTTAATATTTTTTTCAAGAGCATTTTTCCGCTACTTCTTCTTATGAGACTGTCGTCTGTCTGTTGATCTGTTCGTTTCAGCTGCACTGCTGAACTGGTGCAATAAGTTAGAGCGAGAAAAAATATACTTGTCTCACTTTAACTTATTGCACCAGTTCAGCAATACAGCTGAGAGAAGAACAGACCACGTATTAGGACGCGATGCTATCCTTTCATTCTCTCGGCCACCCACCGTCTTTTTTTCCTTTTTGGATATCGCGTTATCAAGTCTAAATTGTTTTTCACTCGTTCGTTTCCACTTGACGTTCGATTACGCTTCCAATTACGCATCCGGTGGTATTAAGCAACGCTTTTCCAATATGTGAGGTATTACCGAGTCTGTGCAAATATATAAAAGTGGTGTGGCTATAAAAGTGCATTTACAATTAGCAACGTTATGCAGGGTGATTTTCGCGAGGCTCCACCGGTGAGACAACTCCTAGGATCGTTGTAAGTGAAGAAGTTTGCGCGAACACGGGTCCGGCTTTTGAATATTTCGAAATAATTTCTTCACTCAAAACGATTCTACCGGTAGGGATTGACTTCCGAAACGTCGATGAAATTTTCGCGCGAATCGCCCGATATTTAGAGGCTCCTTCATTGTTAGACGTTAGGTTGTTAGATCGTTCGCTGTACCAAAAAAGGGGGAGGAAAACGATACAGATAAATGAAACCTATTTAATGTGCTGAAATTAACGAGAGAAGAATTATGAGGAATGTTAAGCAATAGCGAATCATTAAATGAATGTATGCACACTGTGGACTTGTTATTAATTAAGAAGATGCAGAGACGCATCACGATGTTCCGCTACAAGGATAAAACGGTGTCGCGAAATCTCTACGATTTCAGATTATGTATTCAGCGTTTGCCGCGCATGTAATCTTTTTGATATCGTGTATCATTATTTAATACGTAATATACTTTGTAAAGATTTTTAAACGAATAGCGGAATTTTGTATTATGTTGGATCGAGTCACAAGTAACTTTATCGATTCTTCCTACAAATTTTTGTATAAATTTTTATTTAATTTTATATTAACATCTCTCGCAAAAACAGCAAGATATTTGGAATACGAGATGTAATTTTTAATCAAGTTTCACACATATATCCCTGTGTACATTTACAATTCTGAATTGAATATCCTGAATTACCCAAACGTAATTCAAATATAATTATTTTGTAAAATTGTTAACATATACATGTCTATATGTTTTACATATTTATATTTGCTTGTGTCTATATGTTTTACATATTTGTATTTGCTTGTGTCTATATGTTTTACATATTTATTTACATTTATTGTTTTCTTTATATTTATTTATATCTGTCATTATATATGTGGTTACTTGTGACTCAATCCAATAGTTTATAATAAAAGCTCTATGTTGTACCCTGCATTGCGAGGGTGTACGGGGAAAAGTGTTCCCTACGAAAGAAAGAAAAAAAAAAAATAATTGCGTCCACTTAGTTATCTC